GAGCTGCACTGGCTGCCCATTGGTCTCCAGACACGCTTCAAGGTGCTAGTCATTACTTTTAAAGCCCTGCATGGGTACCTGAGAGACCGCCTCCTGCCAATTACCTCCCAAAGACCGATTCGATCACACAGGCTCGGCCTTCTCTGGGTTCCATCTGCCAGCCAATGTCGGCTGGCGACCCCCCCAGGGGAGAGCCTTCTCTGTTGCTGCCCCAGCCCTCTGGAACAAGCTCCCCGTGGAGATCCGGACCCTTGCTACCCTCCCGGCCTTCCGTAAAGCTACTAAGTCCTGGCTGTTCCAGCAGGCTGGGGCTGTTGAAGTATCCAGCCCTGCTTCAATTGTGATTGTTGTGTATTTTAATATTGTTTGTACTGTCTTATTTATCCCCTCCCCTGTTTTATTGTGAGCCGCCCGGAGTCCTTCGGGAGTGGGTGGTATACAAACCCAATAAACGAAACGAACGAAAGATGCAAGGTATTGAAATCATACAGATAGAAAATGATACTTAAGACCCAACTCTATAAATCGGCCAAGCAAACAAACTGGTGGATCATCAAACAGATCAACCCAGCATCCTTACTCAAGGAACAAATGTCCAAGTTCAAATTATCCTACTGCAGACACATTATGTGAAGAACCAGCTCTCTGGAAAAAAACTCAAACACTGAGGAAATGGGATGAATTTTATTAACTTTTGGTATCTACAGTAATATTTGAGTAGTGATACGTGCACAAATGGATAGATGGTAAATACATACTGATTAACTATTTATGTTTACTTTTAGCTGTTGGTCTCTCCAGTTGCCCAGAACCTGCTGTACCCAGTAATGGCCTGAAAATTGGTGAAAGATACGTGGTGAATGATGTGGTCTCCTTTCAGTGTGAGCCAGGATATGCTCTCCAGGTACTTACCCACTCTCCAAATAATTATTTAATTCTGGGGGGGAAATGAGTTAAAGTGGATTGAAAATCATTGCCTTTGTAAAGGTAAATTGAGACATCAGTATCACATTCCATTCTAATATCTGACTACCATGGAAAAGAAAAGATGGTGCTGTGGCCCTCCAGTGACCAGTGGAGCTGGCAGCAGATTTGGACAGTGAGGATATTGGGGAGGAACATAAGCCAGTCCTGGAGTCTGGGGAAGGCTCTGATGAGGGCTCTGCGTCGGAGGCAGAGATGGCGCCAGGACCATCCAACAGTTATCAGCTGCCTTCAGAGTCAGACATCAAGTGAGGCAGATGAACATCTGGAGCCTGTTCCCAGTGTGCACATGCACAGAGTTGCGAGACAGAGGGAACAGCTAAGGGTAAACTTGGGAGTAAGGCCACAGGTGGACGGTGAATGGCCTCTCCCATAGGGAATAAAAGAAGAGGGAAAGGGGAGGGTTTTTTGCAGGAGACAATTAGTTCATTCCTGAATTCTTGCCAAGTCGTGCAGCATCTGAAAGATATCAGCCTAGCTACTCTCCAAGCCTGATAAAGGTCGGTAATTGGGAACTATCTTGAAAGACTGTGGGATGGACTTTGTTAGAGAGGAATTCACTGTACATTAAATAAAAGGGGTTTATTGGCATGAGGACTCGTCTTCATGCTGCTGAGGAAGCCTAGGTCAGAACAGATGGGAAGAAAATTATTGTATGAACTTTATATAATTATCTCAGAGTAGTGCTTTTCAAACATGGCAATCATAAGGTATGTGAACATCAAGTCTCAGAATTCCTGAGCCAACATGCTACGTTTGAAAAATACTGCCTTAGAAGACTCTTGCAAAATCCTATCCGGATGAACATGAATAACATTTGACATAGAATACAGCAACCTCAAATTAAGGGAATCATTTCGGTGTAGCATGAAACTCTCAATCTCAATCATAGCACTTCCTGAATATCTCAAAAGAACACTAGAGAAATATTTGATACTTGAAGGCAAAGAATCTTATTATAACTTTTGTGGGATAACATTCCTTTGAAGTCTCTTTTGACAAGACATCAGCATTAAATATAAAGAGCATCTGTAGGTGCCACTCAAATTATATAAAGTGCAGTCTATCTAGGTTATCTTGGAGAGGTATCTTGCAATCAAACTGATCCATTTTTAACATCTTTGGTGAGGATGCTTTTGGTTAAACAGGGTTTGAAGACTTCAGGAAAATTGAGTAATTTCAACCTTCCTGTTGCTTTGCGGTGTAAAAATTGATGCAATGCAAGGAATTGATTTCACTTCCTGTTGTTAGCTGCAAGGTATCTGACTGGAAAATACTGAAAAATCAAATTTACACCTTTCTCTGGATCAGTGGTATTTAGAAGAGTGGGAGATGAGTTTTGCTGAAAAATTAGTACAAAATAAAACACTAGAATTGTAGTTAAACACTCCAAAATTAAAGGGCGGTACCGTGTGTTCAAAATTATTCATATTTATACCATATGTTAACATTTTTTAAAATAATTAATACTTTTTTCTAAATTCATTTTCCTGATAAATGTCATCCGGGGTAGAAACACTTTCAGTACTCATATTCAATACTGTTATTACACTTCTTTTGAGCATCTCATATTTATTCATAAAGTTGTCTGTACTTTTGTGCATACAATATCTCCTTTTTAAAAATTTGCTTTGTCTTTTGTCTATTTTCCTTTTGGAGTGTACCTTTAACGCTTCTCTTGATGTTTTATTCATTTAATGAAAGAAAGCTATCTTATCTTAGAATTCCAGGCTGCAGTATGTATCGCTTCCTTTCTTTGCTAAAGAATGTTATTTGGCTGAGATAGGTACCCTCCCTATTCTTTCAATTTGGCCTTTTTCTCAGTTCCTTCTCGCTTCCTTCTTGCTAATATTTTCTTTCTTTCTTTTTTCCTTCCTTTGCTTCAGGGGCACTCTCATATTTCCTGCATGCCAGGAACTGTGCGACGCTGGAACTATCCTCCTCCACTTTGTATAGGTAAAATTTTATTTAATTATTTGCTAAAGACCCTTTTTCCCTCCCTCCCTCTCTCCCTCCCTCCCACCTTTTTTTCTCTCCCACCTGTCTTCTCCCCTCCCTCTCTTCTTCCTACTCTCCCTTCTTTTCTCTCTCCCTCTTTTCCTTTCTCCCCTCTCTTCTCCTCCCTTCCCCCTTCCTTCCTTCCTTCCCAGTAGTGTGGGTCTTTAATTATTTAATACTAGCTGATAACCCAGCATTGCCCAGGTATTTATTTATAGGGGAAAAATGTCCAGACCAAACATAATTTCTAATGTTGGATCTTCCCCCTTACCAGAGGGAACCCCCTTGTGAAGTACTGTGATGACATTACCATGGCAGCTCCACTTCACTGTACAGTAGAAGCCATTTTATGGCAGTATGGTAGAAGCCATTTTAAGGCACAACAGGCTGTATCATAACAGAACACACACCCGAGGGCTGTTAGGGGTGTCTTACACCCACAGTATTTTTTTTCCAGAGAGTAAGTCATCTGTGTACCAAGTTTGGTTGAAATTGCTCGAGGCATTCCAGAATTATGCTGGTATATACACACAGAGAGATGTTTTGATGATAGATAGACAGACAGACGACAGACAGACGGACGGACGGACGGACAGACAGACAGACAGATAGATAGATAGATAGAAGATGTAGCTGACCTTTATTTTTGAACATTTCAAATTAGTATTCGAACCTGATGATCCCACCTCCTGATTTATTATGAAAGGTGGGTTGGATTAAAAGCCCAATGGAGGTCTAGAACCTATGGCAGCACTCAATCTCCTGCACTCCCTGGGAGCAAAAACGGACTGCAGGGAGCATCCCCCACACCCCATTTTGAACCTACTAGGCCTCTCTGCAGCCTTCTGAGAGAAAAAATGGGCTATGGAGGGCCCGTTTTCAACCTCCTAGGGCTCCAGAGACTCTTTGGAGGTTGGAAATAGGCCCATTTTCTCACTCCGCAGGTCTCTGGGAGGCTCGTTTTCCACCTCCCCATGCTTCATGCGCCCACTGCACTTACCTGGGATCCAAAACAGGCCACGTGGGGACTTCTGGGAGGAGTGGGGCGAGATGGGGCAGGGTCGGAACTACTGGTTAATCAAACCAAATGTAAAATTTACATCCAGTTTGCCCAAACCGGTCCAAAGAGGCTGAATCTCACCTCTGGTTCTAAGCCTCAGACTAAGGACTGGAAGGAGCTTTGAAAAACAAAAATACCAGCTATGATAATCCTTGTTATATGTTGAGTCTTACTTCATTTAATTAAATTATTCATGTTACTTTCTGAGGTTCCACTACTGGCTCACAAGTTAGTGAGCACCTGAATGTTGAAGAAATCCTTCTTTTATGAAACTATGTCCTCATCTAATGCTGATTTCATATTCTCTTGTCTCCCTTTAAAACAGCGAGCTACCTTGTAAGCTTTTGTGCTCAATTTTAGCCACTTCTTGTCTGTAGAAAACAAACGATGCCACAAATAAGTGTCTTTTCACAGACAGGAATGAGGTCAGTAATAGACAAATGTTTGCTCCCTTGCCAAGATTACAAACAATACCCAAAGAGCATCTGTTAGACTAGATCTTCAGTGATTTATGCAAGGATGAGAATAATCAGTCTGCTTCCTGTAAAACACATAATCTCCCCAATTTAAGGTAATGAAACTCATGGTCTAAATACCGACTCTAGGTTGTATAACTCTGTAGCCTATAAATAGAGGCTTTTTTCTAGCAGTGCAAGCTTGTAGGAGCCTATTCTGACCTTAGTGACTTAAGCAGAATATTTTGCTGCAACTGGGATTCTCTCTAGTTTTCCTATTGGCTTTGTGGATTTATTAAAAATAAACCAATGTAGAACAATAATAATCAGTCTGATGCAGGAAATGAAGTTAGGGGAATACTGTGAAAGCTTCATTTTTTCTGGTCAGCAAAATTTATTTATTTTATTTACTTATTACATCAAGCACGTGTTAGGTAACAGATATAAATATAAACATGATCATGAATACATGAAATGGATACGAATAAAAGCAGACATTAGGACAAGGACGGTAGGCACATTGGTGTGCTTATGCATGCCCCTTACAGACCTCTTAGGAATGGAGTAAGATAGACAGTAGATGGTCTAAGTTTACAGTTATGGGGGTTTGGGGATGAAACCACAGAGTCAGGTAGAGCATTCCAGGCGTTGAGCACTCTGTTGCTGAGATTGTACTTTCTGCAAATGAGTTTGGAGCAGTTTACCTTGAGTTTGTATCTATTGTTTGCCGGTGTATTGTTGTGGTTGAAGAAGTAGTCATTGACAGGTAGAACATTATAGCAGATAATTTTATGTACTACGCTTAGCTCAGACTGAAGGCAGTGTAGTTCTAAGTTGTCTAAGCCCAAAATTTCAAGTCTGGTGGCATAAGCTATTCTGTTGCAGCAGAGGAATGGAGGACTCTTCTCATGAAATATCTCTGGACTCTGGACATCAATTCTATTAATGTCCAATANTGGCAGGCCAAAGATCCAAAAGAAAAGATGGCTGCAGGCCTGACACAGAGGCTGGTTGGCAAGGTAACAGGAATGCTGTAGATTCGTGAAATGAGGTTACGGGTGGATGAGATGATCTTCAAGATTCCTTCTACCTCTTACCTCCTATAATTCTTTAACAGAAGGTAATATTATGGTGCAATAATCAACTAGAGATCATAGTTTAATGAACATACAGATTGGTAGACAACAAAGTCGAGGCTTGATAGAAAACACAGCATTTTCAGAATGGTTTGTTGGATAAAAATCATGAAAACCTGAAACTCTGAAAAATAATATGATTAGAATCATGCTAAAAATGTTACATTATATGAAGTCTTCACTCCTTCCATTATTTTTCTATGCAGAAAATCTCTTGATCAGTCTCCAGCAGGTTTAGTGAGTTGTCCAGTAGACAGAATAGAAGAGATTTTTTTTTGCCTTGCCCTGTTCACGGTTGCTGTATTCATGGGCTAGGTAGATCAACAGACTAAATCAATCTAGCAGCTTTATACATTCCCCATGTCAAGACAAATTTCATGCTGCTAAGGCACCTGCATAGCTGGCACTTCATAACAATAACATTTTTGATACCAAGCTGTTAAGAGTTCTCCGGGGCAAAATGTTGTGGAATTAATCAACTTTCAGAGCTTAGTTCCCATACAGAAATACAAGGATAATAGTGGGACTAGCTGCTCAACTGGCCATTTCCAGGAGCAGAAAAAGATGAAGCTTATAAAGAGAGATTAAATATATATATTTGCTTTGGGCCTTGCTTGACATATCAACAAAGTGCCTCTTAAAAAGCTTTCTTTTCCTTCCCTTTCTGGAGGCTGTTTTTTAGGAACTCAAAAATACTCTTTCATTTCTCCTGCCTTAACTCATCTGCATTAGATTTTTGAGTGGTAAAAAAAGCCAGAAAGCCTATTTAGTGAAAAATCCTTTATATCACCACAGACATTCATTCGTTTAGTACCTTTTTTCAGCTCCTAGCTTCAAATGATTCATAGGTTCAAAGGGCTCTTAAAAACCTGAACATTGGTCCTCATACCAAAAAATAAATAAACGCAAGGGGCTAGAAGTATTGCAATGGCAATACTTTGGACAAAGATCAGGGTATCCCAATAGAATACAAATTAAGCAGATTTAGTATACTGCAGATATCATGTGCTGCATTATACCATACTAAAGAGCCAATGCAACCTTGGGCTGCATCAAAACAGGCTTAAGATACAGAAGGATCTTAACAATCTTGAACGTTGGGCACTATCTAATAAAATGAAATTCATTGGTGAAAAAAGTAAGGTTCTACATTTAGGCAAGAAAAATCAAACGCACAGGTACAGTATATGTGTTACCTTGTTCAATAGTAGTAACTGTGAGAGGGATCCTGGAATCCTAGAGGACAAGCATTTAAATATGAGCCAGTAGTGTGCAGCAGTGCCAAAAAAGCCAACCCAGTTCTAGGCTGCATAAGCAGAGCGGTAGGATCAAGATCATGTGAAGTGTTAATACCACTTTATAAGGCCTTGGTAAGGCCATATTTGGAATACGGCATTCAGATTTGGTCACCAGGATGTAAAAAAAGATGTGGAGACTCTAGAAAGAGTGCAGACAAGAGCAACCAAGATGATCAGGGGACTGGAGGCTAAAACATATGAAGAACAGTTGAAAGAACTAGGNTGAATGAATGAATGAATGAATGAATGAATGAATGAATGAATGAATGAATAAATGAATATATTTTTAGATTTTTTATTTTAAAGAGAAAACATTTTGACTTACAAGGTTTTATTTAACAAAAGCTAAAAGAGTAGAAGAAATTAAAGGTAACACTGGGGAGACAGCACTTCAGATAGTACCACCTCACCTTTTCTAGAATTCCTTTGGTAAAACTTTCACGTTCTAAATCTTGAACCAGCAATTGGATATGAATTCCACCTTCTTTCAAGACTCTTCCGGACTTCCTGCAGATAATTGGGAAGTGTTCATAGTAGTGAAATTTTAAAGCAGGGGCATTGGAAATAGTTATGTGCATACCGTAGAATAGTTACCTGGAATGTTTCATTTTTCTCCTTGAAAATTTTATTTTGCCTCAAGAAAGTCATTCCTTCCTTCGTGTTCTGGATGATATTCTTCCAAAAATGCATAGATCAGTCCTGGAACTCTCAATTTAGCTTGCTCCAGAACCAGAACATTCTGTATCCAGAACATTCTACATCAAAACATACAGATTTTGTATGTTTGTTTTTTTAAAAATAAATTAAATACATGAGTTTGGCCCAGAATAATGAGTTGGACGTTCTCTTCATTACCATTATCTCCCTGTCAAAAAATCTGTTTATTATAAGGCAATTTAGATTCTAATCCCACTCCTTACATTCACACAAATGAATTCAGATATGTTTCTTCCTAAAATGCTTTCTTGAAATGGCTCTTTTTTCTTTAACCTGGGTTATGGGTTTTGAC